GACACCGACCAGAGCACATGGCTGCAGCGAAGAGGGTGTTGCGCTACCTGTGCAGTACGTCGGGCATGGGGCTAGTGCTTGGAGGGCGCAGTCCAGTGGTCCTTACAGGCCACGCGGACGCTTCTTGGGCTGACGACCAGGCTACGCAGCGGTCGTCACAGGGTTACACCTTCAGTCTTGGTTCCGGCTCTGTCTCTTGGCGGGCTACTCGCTCGTCTTCGGTTCTCAGCTCCAGTTGTGAGGCTGAGATCTACGCTGGGGCCATGGCTGCACAGGAGCTTCGCTGGCTCACCTACCTGCTGACTGACCTTGGAGAGCCGCCTCGTTCTCCTCCAGTGCTGTACGTAGACAACAAGGCCATGCTGGCCTTGTGTCGAGAGCAGCGTCTGGAGCACAGAACGAAGCACATTGCTCTTCGCTACTTCCTTGCTCGTGAGCTGCAGCAGCGTGGACAGTTGCGGCTTGCATACGTGGCCTCTGAGGCCAACACTGCTGATGTGTTCACCAAGGCACTCGCGCCTTGTGACCATCAGCGCCTCTGCACCCAGCTGGGTCTTGTGCCTGTCTTGCCTCACTTGCTCTCCTCTTGACTTTACTTGTACTGTGACATATATATATACCTGCTCTTTCTTGTTTAGCCTTATATATATGTGTACTCCTGCATGTGAACTGGCCTCTGGCCCTGCTCTTGTGCTCGGACTGTGTGGTGACGTTGTGATCCACCCTGAGCTTGCTCTGCTTTGCTTTACTTGACTGGTCTTGTGACCCCTTGCTCTCCCCCACTTTGCCTATGGGGGTGTGTCAGATTTATATGACATATTTGCTGTAGGCTATAGTGGGGTAGCACATATGGGGTACAGGGTTTCTAGGGTTGTATTTGTACCCAATCTTTCCTTAGTCATTTCATTCCTGTTCACTTATTCTCACAACTTGGTTAGTAGCAAATCGATTAGTATAAGTAGAAAGGGTGTCGTTACATCAGGAACGGCAGAACCAAAGGTGGAAGAAATTGAGTCAAGTAGAAGGTGATGTTTGATCAGCTGTATGTAGTGTATATTTAAATAGTTCGCTCATTGACAGGCAGGGTGTGTCTCACCTGTACGCCATCTTGTCCGTCGCCACGCCCACTTTTGATGCGACCTGCGTCTGTTGCGATTCGAAACATCTGCGCCTACGTCTTAACGTGCGGATTGCTCATGCTAAGCCGCGCGCGGCGCGGCACTCTGCCGCCCGTCGCCGTCACCTCTTCATCCACCACCTCGGCCGTCGCCATCAGTCCTGCCAGGCGGGCAGCGCTGCCGTTATTCTCGCCGTCGTCGTTGTCGTCCGCCTAGCAGGAGAAGCTGGAGACGGCTCCGCAATACGTGGCAATGGGGAGCGAGGGCGCACGATATAGAGAGCGCTTCCGCAATCTCCGCCGCCACCACTGCTGCCGCCACCGCTGTCACCACTACCGCTTGGCACATTTCTAGGTTGAACATCTGAAGTTGAGGGAAAAGGAACACCGAGCGAACGTGGTCAGAAGTCGTATGATACTCTCCCGTGTTTCATGTGCACATTGCGATTCAGTACGGTTACCTATGCGTCAAGCTGATGCGTCCCGTACTTACGTCGGACAGCGAGGCATTGACACGTGGCAGCGAGGAGCAACAAGGCGAGGAGGAAGCGATGGGCGGTACTCATCGTGCCGTTGATCGTGATTCGCGAAGATCGAAATAGCCGATTGCAAGCTAGTCCAGGTTAATGGTGCAAGGCGCAAACTTGAGTAGTATGATATTTGTTAATTTCGCGATTCTAGCGTCAGAAGTGGCGCGTCGATATGTAAGCACGCTGGTGCTAGTAATAGATTACGTTGAGATATGAACTGACGAGCGGGTTATTATACCTGGCTTGCGGATGGGGCGCCCCGTGCTGTCTCCCTGCACATGCGCCTCGAAAGACGTCGTGGGTAGGTGCTGGGAGGGGGAGGTATAAAGACTGCTGTAGCCGCTGGGTTGGTGCTGCTGAAGGCGTTCCGAGGGAAAAGGTGGGTGAATTTGGGAGGAGGTGCTGGCTGGATCAGGGCTGACGTTTCATTCTAGCCTCCCTGATTCCGGGGAAAATTTTCTCCCTCTATTATGGGTGCACATTTTCCAGAAAAGCAGCACCCTGATTGCTCAGTGTTGTGAAGTAGTTAACTCTGATTGTTCAGGGTCGAGAACTGAACATCAGAGTAGTAACGCACGCTTTGTTACCGGGGAAAAAAATCCCCACTCTCCATGAAGTCTGCGCGCTGTGTTTCCCGCTGGCTGTACACTCGACTGATTTGTGCAGGGCGAATGTGATTGACATATTTGGTGTGCGAGTGTAACATTTCCCTGTCTTATTACCATGCCCGATCGGATCTCTTCATCTGGCATGTAGTGCTTGAATGCTGAACATTCCAGACGACACGCATCAGACACACTGCGACTGTAGTTAGTCACCCTCAGATGCGTGCATCCTGGAACGAGTGTACCAACCGAACGGGCGAGTCACACCTGTTCGAGTCAAATATTTCCGCTGTCAGAGCCTATTTCGACCAATCCCAGCAAAGTATATCTGACATTGCAGATTCGCGCGATCTCGATGGTAGGTGTATCATAACAAAGTTTCGAAGAAACTTTGTCTCGATAAAGCGAGAGGGGGGGGGGGGGGGGGGGGGGGGGGGCGGGGGGGTTACGCACATGTGGGGGGATCACTGCGATCATCGGAAGAAAACTTCCGAGAAACTTCCTCTCGATAAGTCAGGGTCCACAGAGTCGATACTCTGTTAAGTCAGGGTCCACTAACAGCCTAGTCTGTTACACTGTACTCAAAATCAGGGATAGCTAAACTATTACTCTGATTGGATCAGGGCTGAAAATTCAATAACTCTGAAATTTCATTCTCCACGAAGAGGAAAGCCTGAAATCACTCTGAAATCAGGGTAATTATCCTGATAAAATCAGCCCTGGGCTGGATCAAGTTGATGGCGAGCGGATTCCCTTCCAACAATTCCACTCCAATTATTGTGATGTCGTCGAGGCGCATGTCACATGAACAATCTGGAGAAATGGCGCGCCTCGTAACTGCACCGACGTCGCTACTATACCTTACATATAAGTTCCTCTGATATTATTAGTAAGATAGTGATATGGAGAAACAAATAACGTAGCTGTGGTCGAATAATATTATGATTTTGGTGAAGGCCTAGGTATTCATATTAGGCCCAGGCAATCCCCTGGTTTTCTCACTATCGTTCACTTCAGTCACGTGTGTACATCCACCACCACCAGACACCGTAATCTCTGGCGTGATAACCGCGTCGCTATTGATTCCTGCGGTATGCTATAGGACGTGGTACATTTGGTGAAATGTACGGTGGCTCGAGCCTGGTCTCAAATGCCGAGGTGAATGGTGCCATGGAGGAACATTTGCGATACTTGATTAGCGAGAAATAATCCTGAAGTTGCATGCAGAACACGGTCACGCACAATTAGAGTGACGAGAGAGACGACACACAAAAAGCGAGAGCGAAATGTCTCTGTTTTTCCACCGTTCGTACCCAAGAACCGACCCTCACGCTCGAGCGCGAGGCTCAATTCCAAAAATGAAATTCCCGATTTCCGTGGGAATTTCGGGTTTGTGTTACCCTAAATCTCCATTGTAGGCTCGAGCCTCAAGTTCGATAGTTGAGCCCAATGTACCACGGCCTATAGACCCCTGACTGGTTCATGGGAGAAACATCCAGCGCGAACGGTCCGAATTCGCCATGGTCACCGTAATGTAACGTGCAAATACTGCTCTGTAACGTACTAGAACGCTGTACCATTTTGGAAGTTGGAATCAGACCTGTCTGAATCTGAAGTTCCACTCCACACTCAAGGATCTGCGGCTCCACCTGTCAGTTTGGACTCACAAGGTTTCGCGACGCGATTGTGTGAGAGTGATCTCGTCAGTATTTTTCGATCGATTAACGCACGGGTCATATCCAGAGCTGCCTAATTTTGTTTATGCTTCTTCTTCAAACGCTCGTGTTGACATTTAGCCATTCTCCTAACAGCCAAACCTGACTGCCTAGACGTCTGCAGCCGATCGCGCGGTGCTTTATCTGTCTGGTTGAGAATTGACCGTCTGAGTGAGATTCGACTGACTGTGAGATCGACGAAGACTTGACGTCTCCTCAGTTTGCGTCATCAGAATGACGAGAAAACTAACGATCGAATCCGTGCTTCAACCGCCCAAGTCCGCCCCGTCAGCTCCAGCAGCCGTCGCGCTAGACGCCCATCCGTCAGATTCACGCCTTTTGGCCGTCAGTTACGACACCGTTAACACATCTTCCGTACACATTCCGTCAGCCCGTCCGCCGCCTCCGTCAATTGACGGATCCCGTCTAAACGTCGTCAATGCTCAGGATTCCACTCAGTCGAGTAGACTTTCCGTCACTTCAGACATTCGATGTGGCGTTACCCTATATAGTGACAGTGACGATTGTGACGATAACGGATGTGTGCCCGTGTGGACGAGAGAGCGGCCGTTATCCCCGTTAGAATCGCTCTCGTTTAGAGGCTCTCGAGTTGGTACAATACTATGGGTACCCGACGACCCGAATTTGCTACTGGGGGGGACTCGGAGTGGACACGTGGCAGTCTGGGATTTGCGGGTGGGAGGAGACCCGTGCCAGGTGGGACCGGGAAAGGCGGCGTGGAGAGTGGCGGATGGCAGGAGAGTGACGTCATTGGCTGCAGGAGGAGGGGGGTCGAGAGGAGGAGCAGGGCGGGGCGGAGGGGGAGGAGCAGGGGGAGGAGGTGGTGTGGGGGCAGGAGGGGCGGGGGAGAGGGGCGGGGAGGAGGTGCTGAGTGGCAGTGCGGGGGGGAGGGTGATGAGATGGAGCAGACGAATGATGGGCATGGTGAGTGCGCGCGTGTGATCCGAGGGGGGCAGGAGGGGCTCGTGTGAGTTTTCTCCCAACCCCTCTTGTTTCCTTCTCCTCCCCCCTCTCATCTCCATTCTCCTCCCCTCTCTCCTTTTCCTTCTCCTCCCCTATCTCTCTTCCTCTCCCGTCTCATCATCTCCCTTTTGCCCCCCACGCCCTGCCAACAGCCATTGGAAGTCATTCCTCTCACCCCACCTGGTGTTTCACCTGACAGCTGGCGCATGCTGACGCAGTGGCCCCTGGTGCCCTCGGAGCTGCAGATGGGGACAACACCCGTGTGGCGGGGAACACCTGGAAACGCACCTGAAGAAGCACCTGGGGGAGCACCTGGATTTTCCCCTGGGATTTCACCTGGAGTGTTTTACATGGGCACTGACTGTGGTGGTGTGTTTCAAGGGCATCTCTCCCCCTCCGCCCTCACGGCCTCTACTCCTACCCCCCCCTCCTCCTGCTCATCTCCCGGCCAATCACGGCTTGACTTTCGATTTGGCTCCTCTTCACCCTCCGCTCCTGCCACCTCAGCCGCCACGTCAGCTGCTGTGTCAGCAACTGCATTCGGTTATGGGTCTGTGGCCCCCAGCCAAGCAGGGTTACCTGCAACACAAGAATCACAGCCAGGTAAGCCGAGGCATTTGTAAAAGTGTAACTCTACCAGCTCCCAGCTCCGCAGCCACTGTAATGAGCAACATTTTAAACGAATTCTTCTCTAAGCCCTAAACCTGGTGAGTTCCTCCTATCCCGTATGCCTGCCTCCAGTCTCTCGTCACAGGGCCCTTCATTCCCCGCCTCATGCCTTACCCTCATGCACTGCCTTACCCTCATGCACTGCCTTACCCTCATGCACTGCCTTACCCTCATGCACTGCCTTACCCTCATGCCCTGCCTTACCCTCAAGCACTGCCTTGCCCTCATGCCCTGCCTTACCCTCATGCACTGCCTTACCCTCATGCACTGCCTTACCCTCATGCACTGCCTTACCCTCATGCACTGCCTTACCCTCATGCCCTGCCTTACCCTCATGCACTGCCTTGCCCTCATGCACTGCCTTACCCTCATGCACTGCCTTACCCTCATGCACTGCCTTACCCTCATGCACTGCCTTGCCCTCATGCCCTGCCTTACCCTCATGCCCTGCCTTACCCTCATGCACTGCCTTACCCTCATGCACTGCCTTGCCCTCATGCACTGCCTTACCCTCATGCACTGCCTTACCCTCATGCACTGCCTTACCCTCATGCACTGCCTTTCCCGCATGCACTGCCTTACCCTCATGCACTGCCTTACCCTCATGCACTGCCTTACCCTCATGCCCTGCCTTACCCTCATGCACTGCCTTGCCCTCATGCACTGCCTTACCCGCATGCACTGCCTTACCCTCATGCACTGCCTTGCCCTCATGCCCTGCCTTACCCTCATGCCCTGCCTTACCCTCATGCACTGCCCTACCCTCATGCACTGCCTTACCCTCATGCCCTGCCTTACCCTCATGCACTGCCTTACCCTCATGCACTGCCTTACCCTCATGCACTGCCTTACCCTCATGCACTGCCTTACCCTCATGCCCTGCCTTACCCTCATGCACTGCCCTACCCTCATGCACTGCCTTACCCTCATGCCCTGCCTTACCCTCATGCACTGCCTTACCCTCATGCACTGCCTTACCCTCATGCACTGCCTTACCCTCATGCCCTGCCTTACCCTCATGCACTGCCTTGCCCTCATGCACTGCCTTACCCGCATGCACTGCCTTACCCTCATGCACTGCCTTGCCCTCATGCCCTGCCTTGCCCTCATGCCCTGCCTTACCCTCATGCACTGCCTTACCCTCATGCACTGCCCTACCCTCATGCACTGCCTTACCCTCATGCCCTGCCTTACCCTCATGCCCTGCCTTACCCTCATGCACTGCCTTACCCTCATGCCCTGCCTTACCCTCATGCACTGCCCTACCCTCATGCACTGCCTTACCCTCATGCCCTGCCTTACCCTCATGCACTGCCTTGCCCTCATGCACTGCCTTACCCTCATGCCCTGCCTTACCCTCATGCACTGCCCTACCCTCATGCACTGCCTTACCCTCATGCACTGCCTTACCCTCATGCACTGCCTTGCCCTCATGCACTGCCTTACCCTCATGCCCTGCCTTACCCTCATGCACTGCCCTACCCTCATGCACTGCCTTACCCTCATGCACTGCCTTGCCCTCATGCACTGCCTTACCCTCATGCACTGCCTTACCCTCATGCACTGCCTTACCCTCATGCCCTGCCTTGCCCTCATGCCCTGCGTTACCCTCATGCCCTGCCTTACCCTCATGCACTGCCTTACCCTCATGCCTTGTCGCATCACAGCATTCTCATATGCACCTTGCACCTCACCTCACGGGTCTCCACCCTTCCTGTCCAACTTATCCTCCACCAATCACCCCAGGCAGACCCTTCCCCCACACCCTTCTCCCTTCCTCCCTTTCCCCTCCCATCCCTCAGTCCCCCGATCACACCACCGTTCCTTCACCACTGCCACCCATGCACCGCCCTCCTCCCCTGCCACCTTGCTCTCAACCATTGACCCTATGCGCGCCCCCTTTCACCGTTTCCCCTCCCCTCCATCCCTCAGGCCACATTACAGTGTCTTCGTATCTTACCTCCACCTCCCGTGCACCGCTCTCCACTCCTCCCATCGTGCCCTTAATCATTCAAACCATGCGCGCCCCTCTTTCCCTCCCTACCACCCCCCGCATCCCACAGCCCCCCGGCCTACTCTCCTCCCAATATTCCGGCAACTATTCAACCCATGCACACCCCTACCTACCCTCCCTGCTTCCCATCCCACAGCCCCCCATCACAGTGCATTCATATCCGGCCTGCACTGCCACCCGTGCGCCGCCCTACTCTCCTCCGATCCCCCTCTCTGGCTCACATCCCTCGGCAGCCCTAACTGCCACAGCAGCCATGCCACCGGGTGCCACAGCAGCAGCTGCAGCACCCACAGCAGCGGCAGTGGCGGCACGCGCAGCAGCACAAGCAGCAGCAGGAGCAGCAGAAGCAGTGGTTCTGATGACTCGTTATATGGGAGGGGAGATGCTGTGGAGCAGGAGTGGCATGGCATGGATCCAACATTCCAGCCCATGGGCTCACGGACTCACCATCACAGATCCACCATGCCATACGCCTGTGGTGCTACTGCCATGCCATGGCATGGTGATCTCATTCTCTCCACCTCGTGGGACATGACCGTCAAGCTGTGGTCGTCAGCCATTCCATTTAGGTAAGCCAGACGATGATAGATCTGTCGTGAGTTGTCTCAAGGATGCCATGCCATGCCGTGGCACGGCGATCTCATTTTTGAGTCGACTCAAAAATCGACTCATGCTGGGGCACGTTGATCTCATTCTATTCTATCCACCTCCTGGGATATGACCGTCAAGCTGTGGTCGTCAGCCATCCCACACAGGTGAGCCACATGGATCGTGTTGCACCATTCACCTTGTGGCATACGCCAATGACGATGCCATGCCATGAGTCCATGACATGCCATGACATGGCAATCTCATTCTTTCCACCTCCTGGGATATGACCGTCAAGCTCTGGTCATTTACCTACCAACCCACACAGGTAAGCTGGATCGGCCTAGAAATTTTCCCTTTCATGGGAATCCTCATGCCTTGCACCTTATGAATGTATGCTAGCAGTGCCCCTCAACCTACTTCACCTTCCCTCCCCACCCACCCCTTCCTCTCTTCCCATGCCTGTTACACTCTGCTAGGACCGTGGGGCTCTGCATGAGTACCTGCTGTGCCGCTATCCCCCTCATCACTACAATGTCCCTCCTGTGCATTCCTTGAATTTTGAGTCGACTCAGAAGTCACCTTGCTAGGACCGTGGGGCTCTGCAAGAGTACCTGCTGTGCCGCTATCCCCCTCATCACTACAATGTCTTTTCACACTCCTGATGACTTTTGAGTCGACTCAAAAGTTACCTGCTGTGCCCCTATCCCCCTGATCACTGCAATGTCTTTTCACACTCCTGTGCATTCCTTGATCCCCATTCCCACTCACCACCACCCTGCGAAGCAGGCCGCTACTCACCCTCCAATCATTCGACGACACGTGTCACGATGTGCGCTGGTGCCCCTCAAGCCTCTCACTTTTCGCCCTCTCTGTTGGCTCCGGGAGGATTCAGCTGTGGGACCTGGCCCGTAGCACCCGCTGTCCAGTCGCTACAGTGTCTTCCACTGTAAATTCTACAGTAAATACAGTGAATTCGACATTTGGTGGGTCAGGTCCAGCGGCAATGACGACTGAGGCGTCGTGTTATGACACTGAAAAGGGTAGCGATTATGAGAAAGAGAAGCACTTATCAGAAGATGGCAGTGTATTTATTAGGCTACGATGGACATGCGATGGTAAGGGGATAGTTGCAGGAGACACCCTTGGTCGTGTGTTCATTATTGATGCTTGAAGGTGACTTGAATTAGGAATATGTCATGATATACGGTACTGACGAGGACCTATCCAGGTGGACTGAGGAGGACCAGAGGGGAACCTAACCTCCAAAAGATGCAGGGATTATCTCAAAAACCGTTTCTTGACGGATGCAGCTGTGATTGGAATGTCTCTGGCTGAAGCTGTGCAGGGGCCATGGGCAAGCGCAGGGGCTATGGGCAAGTGCAGGGGCCAGGGAGAGGGTAGAGTAAGAGAGGAACTCGGTCACAGGGACAGCAGAGCTTCAGCAGGGTTGTTTCATCAACTTCAGGAGCAAACGGTATCCACGTGCCATCTTGCAACCCAGTAGTTACCACAGCATGTTACTCAGCTGGCTTTAAAGGATTGCAGAGTTGCTGTCTCCCAGAAAGGTGCCTTTTTGAGAGCTGTTAACTGAAATTCTATATTAGCCGATAGTAGCATTCAAATAGCATTCACAATGCATCATCCACGTAGATTGCACACACGAATTAACACGCAGCCCACCGAAACAAACAAGCACGAGAAACAGAGCGGCAAAGCAAGCAAACACGCAAGCAACCACAGCCAGGTACTGCCTGCCCCGCGAAACCCACCATTGCTCAACACCAAATCATGCCAAAGAGCATCAAAGTACCGCTATAACGCTATAGCTCTTATTTCTTCTTCTCAAAGAATCCGCCGCCAGCCTTCCTGCTCTCCGTCGGCTTGGCGGGTGTCTGCTCCTGCGGCTTCTGGTTGGGGTCGAATCCCGCCCGCGGACGCGTTTTGGGCTCAGCCGCTGCAGAAGCGGCTTTGAGCGCCTCGGGCGCGTCCTCTCCGAAGCGCTTCTTGATGACGTTTGCGTTTGATTTTGACAAGTCGTCCGGGTCGGCCATGCTTTTCGCCGGCGAATTCTTGCCGTCCGATGACTGAGAGTCGCTCTTGAGACGGTCGTACTTGGGCTGCGCTGCCGCAGTGTCAAGGAGGCTCAGACACGCGAGGAGAAGCGCGAGCACGAAAAGAGAGCGGATGGCACCCATCGTTGAGATGGACGGCGGATGTTTTTTTACTCGAGAAAGGGCGAGGAAAGTGAGTACTTTTCCACGGGCAATGGATGCAGATTAGACAGTGAGGAAGATCGGAATTGCATGTGAGATGAGCAACACTCGCCGTCGACTTATACTTCTTTTGTGCTGCACTTTCAGCCTGCGTAGGCACTAGAAATCCTTGTGCTGCTGCTGAAAACTCTGCGTGGAGGCCGCCGTGAGTCGCGGGGGAGTTGGAAAGTTTGAGCGGTGGTGTGGTTGGTTCCAAGGTCACCCCTAGAGTTGGCGAGGCGACTTCGCGAGGTGGATTTGCACAATGTAACGAACAGCTGCGAGGTGACGAAAAACCTTTATGGCGCATGACACAGCCTTGATGCGAAGGTGGCTCACGTGACCAGCTTGATGTTTCCTTCGTAAACTCGCTGGACGCAATTATGTACAATCATTTCGCCCCTCAATTCCCCCCGCACTCAACGGGGAGAAATTGGTGCATTTTTTCCTGAGTGCCTACGGAACCAGGCTTCAAAACTTGGACTCGTTAGAGAGGGTTCGTTTTAGTCCATTCTCTATTTCTGCATTCTCTACTCAGAAATAGCCGAGTGCATACACAACTAGGTTACAACTACTAACGAGAGATTCGCCCTTGAAGCGTCATGCCTTTCCCTGGCCTGGGTCTGGGGAAGTTCGCCCGGGCAGCAACGAAACCTCGCACCGCACCCACTCGCACCTACTCAAAAGCGTCGCCACCCCGAGCGAGAGTGGTGAGAGTTTTGCTCAATCCCGCGGAATCACGGTTTGTTTTATTATTGCCATATGGCATGCTTTCGATCGCGTGAACCACGACCTGTTTTTTGTTATCACAAACCTCAAGAGAAAACTAGTTAAGCTATGTACTGCGCTGCCCGCGGGCAAAAATAAAACCCATTTGGGCCTGGCATGCTTTAGGGAGGCATCAACCCTAAACACCTTGCCTCTAGGTGTTTAGGGCTGATGCATCCCTAACGCATGCCTTACGTGTAGGGGTTTTATTTTTTCCCGCGGGCAGCGCAGTACAGAACTTAAATAAATCTCTCTTGAACTTTGCGATAACAATAAAACAGATCGCGGCTCACGCGATCATAGGCTCGCCACGTGGCCAAAATAATTTAAATCGTGCTTTCGCAGAATTGAGCAAAATTCTTGACAGTGGTTGGCAGGAAGCAAACACGGCCCCTACAGGCCTTTCAATCGGTCGCAGAATGTTGTCCTGGCGATGTCGTGGGAAGTCAGACAGTCGCACTAGCTGCCTGGTAACGTCCGCGACATACACCTGATGCTCGTTAGAGCCTCTCCCGGTTGCCTTGTGATCTGGGTCTGTAAGCTAAACCTGCATTTCGCGGGGCATTCGTGAATTTCGTCAGGCGTCCAGCGTGCTTCAAAACTGCACATGATAACCACCCAGTTTGTCTGTGTCGCAACAGTAAGGGGTTGCAGCACTTGTCCCTGTTGTGTGTTTAGGGTTACTAAACGAACGCTACAGTACCGAAACAAGCATGCACAACAATTGTTCTTCGTAGTACAAAACAGTCAAAACACAAACACCTTCCAATCAACATCCTCCACCTGGCCCATCATCTCCATTCAACACACAAAACGAAACACGCACAAATGGGCACAAGGAGTGAACACTTGGGCTCTCAGCAAAATGCCTTCGACACCTTGCGAAGTCTGCTCCACCCCCCCCTCACAGACGCATCCACTCAGCCGCGTCCACATACCCGTCCATCACGGCGCCCACACCGGCGTCAAACAACTCCTGACAGCGAGACGGACGGGTCATCCAGCCGGGCAGCACACGGCCGCGCGGACGAGGCGTCTCGGGCGTGGGAGTTGCGCCCGGGGAGGGTACGGGTTGAGGCGCCACGTTGAGGTTGAATGACGGGCTCGCCCGCTCCATCCGCGCGATTACGATGGGGTTGCGGATATCGAACAGATGGCACAGATCGCGCGGCGTGATGCGGGTGGCCCGTGCATATCCGATGAGCATCTCGCATGCCGCCCGTGCAGTGCGCCGTGCTTCGCGGCACACTGGGTCGGCGTCGTCGTAGACGGCTTGCATGGTCGTCGGCGCGTGCCAGAGCTCCACCTCTAGGCCCGCCTCCGGCTCAGTCGCGGGCTGTCCCGCAGTGCCCTCGGCGCACGTTGGCTCGTCGTCGTCGATGGCGACGTACTCTGCGGCCGTCATCGCCGCATTCCCGAGGGCGAGCCCGCTAATAAGCGTCCCGACATCGTCGATGTCGTCGTCGAGCTCGATGTCGGGGTAGACGGTGGGGGAGGGCTCATCGTCGTGTACCTGCGTTAGCTCCAGGGACCACGAGAGCAGCAGACACCCCGTGCGCCACCAGCACCGTTGAATGGTGCGCGCGCCGACCGAGGTCCACGCGTCCGACAGCCACGCGAGGACATCGCGCAAGTTCGGGCGGAAACGCGCGACGGCGGAAGTCGCGCCGTCGCCGTTCCACAAAGCCGAGAAGGCCCGCAGCCAATGCTGTTAGTTTCGGGCCTTTACGGTGGCTATGATGCCTTGATCGAGCGGCTGTGTGAATGCGGTGGTATTCGGCGGCAGGAAGACGAGCCGCACGTTGCTCATGCAGGTCGTCGCGACATGGTCGCGGATGGTCTGCAGCGTCAAAGGCACACCAGCGGGCCCTGCGTTTGCGATCCACCGCGCCATGGCCTGCTCCAGCTCAGACCATGCGCCACCTCAACGGCGCACTTGGTTGTCGCCGGTTGCCGTGACAGCCCATCGCTCGGCGAGCTTCACTATGCGGTCGACAGTGGAGCGATCCGGGTGCAATCCGTACTGCGTGTAGCACCACCTCGCCAGGTCAACATGACGCAGGCGGGGGTTGTCGACGTGGTGCGCACAAATAGCGCGCTTGATATGGAGCGGGAGCTGCTCCCGTCGATTAAAGCGGGGCATTGTGAGCGGCTGGGGTGTGAGAGAATGCTGACCTTGTGAATTAGTTGTTCGATTTTTATCGTCATAGGTCGGGCGTGCTGGGCAAAGCTGGGGCCTGTTCTTTGTTGCATGTCACATTTTTGTGGTTGATGTTCGTCCCATGCACATGGCTTTGTTAGAATCCCAACCACTAGACCATTGGGATAAAAGGGCTTGTTTCAGTAGCGGGTCAGTGCGCCCATAACCCCCCAGGCGAACGCGCCTGTAGCCCTCTCCAGGATCAATCGGGCATCCACAGTGCAGATCTACTGACACCCCCCCACATTGGGAGGCCCAGGACTAAGCACAGCGGCAACGGCCTACATGTGCATACACCGGGAATCGAACCCGAGACCGCTCTGAAACCATGTCAGAATCCCAACCACTAGACCATTGGGATAAAAGGGCTTGTTTCAGTAGCGGGTCAGTGCGCCCATAACCCCCCAGGCGAACGCGCCTGTAACCCTCTCCAGGATCAATCGGGCATCCACAGTGCAGATCTACTGACAGGCTTGCATTTTTGATCGTGTGGTTTGGTAACCACACCCTCGAATGTCTGACGTGGGGTGGGCGAAGCACGCCTGGCTGGTAATGCGCTTGTACCTTGCAAGTCCCGAATTACACGTGGCAGCTTGTATCTGACCAAATAATGCCTGTTACACGCACGATGATCCTTGCTTAGGTGGCGGCCTAGATGGGAGAATGCGTTCACTAAACCATAGTCGTTTCGTCCAGTCATTTCGCCTCTCCGACTCCTGGCCTAGAAACAAGGCAACAGTGGGTCGGCATGGCTTGTTCGGGACTGCACGTGCATTGATGGCCGAGTCGCGTGTACTGTTGCCAGCCACCCATGTGCTTGTACTGTGGGAGGAGCAAGCAGGGGTTTCCAGCTCGGGGGCAGCGTTTCCATTCGGTGCATGGCAATTTCGCGTGCACTGGTCGGGCATCATGTGTACAACGATGCCACGAACATCGTTTGAAAAAATCGTCAACCCCAGCTCTCGCGATGCAACTTGGTTTCCCGCGCCAACCAACCTTCCTAAGTTTGAAACATCTGAACCTCGAGTTCAATCGCGACTTCCATCCACCAGTACGGCGATTAGTACAACGGAGAGATTTTTTCACTACAATTCCGATTACTACCACCGCTATTATTAGTAGCACACGGCCCCGATTCTGGCCAGATGGACGCTCAATCTGACGGGCCGCATCGCGCGGAGAGGCAGAATCTGCTGCCGCGACGGGCGGACGAGAAGCTTGACGCGAGGCAGAAAGGCATGACGCGGCGGGGGATGATCGCCGCCGTTTCGTACATGATCTGCGCAGGTAGTTAGGGTTACGCTGCTGGTCATTCGGCGAATTCGAGTAATTTGGATTGTTTCAGTAATTCAGATAAATCGGGTACTTCGGATAATTTGAATAATTCTGATAGTTATGGTGTTTTTTTGTGATCCGAGTAATTCAGATAATTCGAGTAATTTGGATAATTCGGGCTGTTTTGGATAATTCGGGGTAAGTCAACACTAGGTTAGAAATCATGTCCAGCGATCCGTGTGTGACTGTCACGACAAAGGTGACTGCGTATCACACCCCTTTCCCCTTCCCCTTCCTCCTTTCTCCTTTCTCCTTTGTCTATGCGCTCAGTTCATCCCCTCCCTACAGTCACACCCCTTATGTTCAATATCCTGCTCTTTCCGCCATCAATTGCTGAGCGGATCTTTGTCTACCATACTCACTGTGTCTACCATACTCACTGTGTCTACCATACTCACTGTGTCTACCATACTCACTGTGTCTACCATACTCACTGTGTCTGCCATACTCACTGTGTCTGCCATACTCACTGTGTCTACCATACTCACTGTGTCTACCATACTCACTGTGTCTACCATACTCACTGTGTCTACCATACTCACTGTGTCTACCATACTCACCGTGTCTACCATTCTCACTGTGTCTACCATGCTCACTGTCTACCATACTCACTGTGGCTACCATACTCCTTTCCATTATCTCCGTTCTCCTTTGCCAATGTGCTCATCTCGTTCCCTCCTTACAGTCACACTCGTTATGTTCAACAAGGCCGCCCTTTCCTCCTTCAACTTCCCTTGCGCCAACGTCATCACTCTGCTTCAGGTGACGTCATCACCCTTGTCACATGGCGTCACCTCTCTCTCCTCTATGTGACGTCATCACCACCCTCCAGGTGACGTCATCACTCGCTCAAGGTATCCCCCGTCCTCTTCCTCTCCCCTCGCTTTAGCCAATCATGGGCAGACGGGTGAGTGAAGCTTTTCAGTCGACTCAAAAGTTACTCAAGCTACCCCCCCTCCTCGTCCTCCGCCCTCTCTGTAGCACATCATAGGCAGACGGTTGAATGAAGCTCTGTGAATCCCTTTCTTAGCAGCACCCCAACTCCTTCCACTCACCATTTTTCCTCCCTCCCTCCCTCCCCTCCCTCCCTCCCTCCCTACCATTTTTCTCCCTCCCTCCCTCCCTCCCTCCCTCCCTCCCTCCCTCCCTCCCTCCCTCCCTCCCTCCCTCCCTCCCTCCCTCCCTCCCTTCCTCCCTCCCTTCCTCCCTCCCTCCCTCCCTCCCTCCCTCCCTCCCTCCCTCCCTCCCTCCCTCCCTCCCTCCCTCCCTCCCTCCCTCCCTCCCTCCCTCCCTCCCTCCCTTCCTCCCTCCCTCCCTCCCTTCCTCCCTCCCTCCCTCCCTTCCTCCCTCCCTCCCTCCCTCCCTCCCTCCCTCCCTCCCTCCCTTCCTCCCTCCCTCCCTCCCTTCCTCCCTCCCTCCCTCCCTCCCTCCCTCCCTCCCTCCCTCCCTCCCTCCCTCCCTCCCTCCCTCCCTCCCTCCCTCCCTCCCTTCCTCCCTTCCTCCCTCCCTTCCTCCCTTCCTCCCTCCCTTCCTCCCTTCCTCCCTCTGCCCCCCTCCCTATCCCCGCAGATGCTGCCCCTACGGCCCTGGCAGGGCCGCCCTGCTAGCCCTTCTCCGTCTGGTAGACGCCTTCACAGTCGCAGGAAGCTCAAGGCAGTATCAGTGCCTCACCACTCATGCCCCTCACCATAATCCTCCCTCCCCTCTAACCCCCCTCAGATGCTCTCCCCTACAGCCCTGTTAGACGCTCTTGCATTTCCCCACCTCATTCCGACGTGCATCCTTCTCCCCCCCTCGCCCCTTCTCCCCCCCTCGCCCCTTCTCCCCCCCTCGCCCCTTCTCCCCCCCCCCACCCCCCCACCCCTCCAGATGCTCTCCTCTACGGCCCTGTTAGCCGTTCTCCGCCTGGCAGACGTTCTCACCTTTGCGGATGGCTCTGCTGCTGACGTGGCTCTGGGCAGAGGCAGCAGCAGCATAGGCAGCAGCAGCGGTAGCAGCCTAGGGAGCAGCAAGGGAGGAGCAGCGGTGGGGCTAGGCAGGGTGGTGGCGGGCCTGTTTGCTCCCAGCTACTCTGTCTCTGTCGCCCCTGCTGGTGCTGTTGGTGGTGGGGGAAAATTGGGGAAGGGAGGGAAGGGTGGGAGGAGCAGGGGCGGGCGCAGTGGGTTTGTGCCGCTGCATACTCTTGCTAGGGTGCTGCCGCTGTCGCTCTCATATCTCCTCTACATGGTACGTACGTCCCTGGGGGTTCGGCAGGGCAGGGTGGTGGCAGGCTTGTTTGCTCCCATCTACTCTCTCTCTCTCACTCCTGCTGCTGCTGGTGCTGAGCTGATGGTGGGAAGGGAAGGAAGGGTGGGAGGAGCAGGGGCGGGCGCAGTGCGTTTGTCTGTGCCTCTGCACACTCTCTCTAGAGTTTTGCCTCTGTCACTCTCCCATCTCCTCTACGTGGTACGGATGTCCCTTGGGGTTGGGGTTGCCCTTTCTTGCTCTCATATCTCCTCTATCCCTTCCCTACCTGGTTTTGAGTCGACTCAAAAGCTGCCTGGTAGTTATCTCCTCCACCACATGGTACGAATGTCCCGAGGGAGTTGGCATGCGATCAAGTGCCACTGTGGGCAAAGAGGGAAAAGGGCGGGCACAGTGCGTTTGTCTGTGCCTCTGCACACTCTTGCCAAAGTTCTCCCTCTGTCGCTCTCCTACCTCCTCTACATGGTATGGTACGTGTGTGCTTCAGTGCATGGTGCATCGTATGGCATGGTGCATGGTGCATCGTATGGCATGGTGCATGGTGCATCGTATGGCATTGTGCATGGTGCATCGTATGCCATTGTGCATGGTGCATGGTGCATGGTGCATGGCTGGCTGTTGCTGCTCTCCCTCTCCTACCTCCTCTATACGGTATGTGCTTCAGTGCATGTCGCACGCATGCTGTAGGGACGAGCAGCGGTGGGGCTGGGAAGGGTGGGGACTGGCTTGTTCGCTTCAAGCTAATCTGTCTCTGTAACTCCGCTACTGCTGGTGGTGGTTGTGGGGAATGGGGGAAGTGTGGGACGGGAGCAAGGAGCAGGGTCGTGTGCAGTGGGTTCGTGTCTTGGCATAGTCTTGGGTCGACTTAAAAGGGACGTGCGCGCGCAGTGGGTTCGCGTCTTGGCATAGTCTTGCCGACCAGAGTGCTTCATGAGAAAGGATGTGTGGGGCTACCTGCTCCACGCATGAGCCTCAGCTTCTTGCCAGAGTGCTTCTTGCCAGAGTGCTTCTTGCCAGAGTGCTTCTTGCCAGAGTGCTTCTTCTCTCCCTCCCCTGCCTCCTGTGCGTACCTGCTTCAATGCATGATGCACTGTATGCTGCATGCTGCAGTACTCACACCACACACACCATGACCCCCTTGGCTCTGCTGTGTGCTTGTTGGTCTCTACTGGTGCGTGCGTGAGTGAACGTGCCCTTGTTTACGGCTCTCAGGTGCACCACAGTCTTCTTCACTTCCCTCTCCCTGTGCGCCTGTTCATGCCTGTTCATGTGTGTGTCTGTCCGCAGGTGGTGGGCATGGCGAGCATAAGGGGAGAGAACGTGCCCATGTACACGGCCCTGCGCCGCACCACAGTCACCTTTGATTCACCCTTGCGTATGTCTCTGTGTTTCCTTTCCTCCCAATCCCGTTCCTCAGGTGGTGGGCATGGCGAGCATAAGGGGAGTGAACGTGCCCATGTACACGGCTCTCAGGCGCACCACGGTGGCCTTCACCCTTCTGGCCGAGCGACTGCTGTCAAGCAAGCGACACTCCTCATACACGCTCATCAGGTGAGCTTGAGTTGAGGGCTGCACGTTAGTCTTGCAATGGTGCTTCTGTGCTTGTGTGCCTGCACTTGTGTATGTAGAAATCATATTTCTATCCGCTCTCCATCTATCCGCTCTCCATCCATCCGTCTCCCTTCTCTGCAGTTCAGTGTGGCAGTCATAGTCACAGGAGCACTGCTGGCAGCACTAAGGGACTTGTCTCATTCGCACTCATGCTTGTGTAATTGCTTCCCTCCCTCTCCTCCCTTCTCTGCAGTTCAGTGTGGCAGTCATAGTCGCAGGAGCACTGCTCGCAGCACTAAGGGACTTGTCTCATTCGCACTCATGCTTGTGTAATTGCTTCCCTCCCTCTCCTCCCTTCTCTGCAATTCAGTGTGGCAGTCATACTCACAGGAGCACTGCTGGCAGCACTAAGGGACTTGTCTCATTCGCACTCATGCTTGTGTAATTGCTTCCCTCCCTCTCCTCCCTTCTCTGCAGTTCAGTGTGGCAGTCATAGTCACAGGAGCACTGCTCGCAGCACTAAGGGACTTGTCTCATTCGCACTCATGCTTGTGTGATTGCTTCCCTCCCTCTCCTCCCTTCTCTGCAGTTCAGTGTGGCAGTCATAGTCGCAGGAGCACTGCTCGCAGCACTAAGGGACTTGTCTCATTCGCACTCATGCTTGTGTAATTGCTTCCCTCCCTCTCCTCCCTTCTCTGCAATTCAGTGTGGCAGTCATACTCACAGGAGCACTGCTGGCAGCACTAAGGGACTTGTCTCATTCGCACTCATGCTTGTGTAATTGCTTCCCTCCCTCTCCTCCCTTCTCTGCAGTTCAGTGTGGCAGTCATAGTCACAGGAGCACTGCTCGCAGCACTAAGGGACTTGTCTCATTCGCACTCATGCTTGTGTGATTGCTTCCCTCCCTCTCCTCCCTTCTCTGCAGTTCAGTGTGGCAGTCATAGCCACAGGAGCACTGCTCGCAGCACTAAGGGACTTGTCTCATTCGCCCTCATGCTTGTGTAATTGCTTCCCTCCCTCTCCTCCCTTCTCTGCAGTTCAGTGTGGCAGTCATAGTCACAGGAGCACTGCTCGCAGCACTAAGGGACTTCTCATTTGAAGCATATGGCTACTCACTCGTCTTCCTATCCAACATCACCACCGCACTCTACCTCGCCTTTATTGCAAGACTCGGGAAGGCTACCGGGCTTAACAGCTTCGGCCTCATGTGGTGTAATGGTGAGCCTTCATTGCACGTGCCCTTGACCTCTACTTATGTGCCCTGTGCCCCATGCCCTGTGTGCCCCATGCCCTGTGTGCCCCATGCCCTGTGTGCCCCATGCCCTGTGTGCCCCATGCCCTGTGTGCCCCATGCCCTGTGTGCCCCATGCCCTGTGTGCCCCATGCCCTGTGTGCCCCATGCCCTGTGTGCCCCATGCCCTGTGTGCCCCATGCCCTGTGTGCCCCATGCCCTGTGTGCCCCATGCCCTGTGTGCCCCATGCCCTGTGTGCCCCATGCCCTGTGTGCCCCATGCCCTGTGTGCCCCATGCCCTGTGTGCCCCATGCCCTGTGTGCCCCATGCCCTGTGTGCCCCATGCCCTGTGTGCCCCATGCCCTGTGTGCCCCATGCCCTGTGTGCCCCATGCCCTGTGTGCCCCATGCCCTGTGTGCCCCATGCCCTGTGTGCCCCATGCCCTGTGTGCCCCATGCCCTGTGTGCCCCATGCCCTGTGTGCCCCATGCCCTGTGTGCCCCATGCCCTGTGTGCCCCATGCCCTGTGTGCCCCATGCCCTGTGTGCCCCATGCCCTGTGTGCCCCATGCCCTGTGTGCCCCATGCCCTGTGTGCCCCATGCCCTGTGTGCCCCATGCCCTGTGTGCCCCATGCCCTGTGTGCCCCATGCCCTGTGTGCCCCATGCCCTGTGTGCCCCATGCCCTGTGTGCCCCGTGCCGTGTGCCCCATGCCCTGTGTGCCCTGTGCCCTGTGCCCTGTGCCCTGTGCCCTGTGCCCATCCCAACCCTTTCCTCTCCCATCACTTGAGGCCACCCCTTTCCTCTCCCATTCCTCTCTCTCATCCCTCTCCCATTCCTCTCTCTCATCCCTCTCTCTCATCCCTCTCTCTCATTCCTCTCTCTCATCCCTCTCTCTCATCCCTCTCTCTCATCTCACTCTCCCATCCCTCTCTCTAATCCCTCTCTGTCATCCCTCTCTCCCATCCCTCTCTCCCATCCCTCTCTCCCATCCCTCTCTCCCCTCTCTCCCTTTTCAACGCGTCTCAAAAGTCCGAAAGTCCACCTCACTGCCATCTCCTCTCTCTCATTCCCCCATGCCATCTCCTCTCCCTCATTCCCCCATGCCATCTCCTCTCACGCACTCCTCTATCCCATCTCCAGGCGTCATCTGCATCCCCGCCCTCCTCCTCTGGACATTCCTCTCGGGGGAGATTCAACGGGCGCTCGACTTTCCAGCGCTGCTGCAACCCGATTTCCTGGTGGGTTGGAGAAGACTGGATGGGCTGTGTGTGTGCTGCTACATCCCCCTTCTCCTCCGCTGAACTGGACATTCCTCACGGGGGAGATCAAACGGGCTCTCGATTTCCCAGCACTCCTGCAACCCAATTTTCTGGTGGGTTGGTGGTGGCTGGTGCTTGTGCACGGGTGAGACCATGGGGGATTGGAGAAAGGGCTATGTGTGTGCGTCTGCCTCCCCGCCCTCCTCCTCTGGACATTCGTCTCGGGGAAGATTCAACGGGTGCTTGAGTTTCCAGCACTCCTGCAGCCCAAATTCGTGGTGGGTTGGTCGTGTTGGTGCTTGGTGCGCGTGTGAGTCCGTGGGAGAAAGGGGAATGGGTTGTGTGTGAGCGTCTGCATCCCCGTGCTGCTTCTCTGGACGTTTTTTTTCATGGGAAATCCAATGGATCTTAAGTTCCCAGCACCGCTGCAACCCAATTTCCTCAATCTGTTCCCGTGTGTATGTGTGTCCGTTACACTTCGATCGGCCTGGATGTTGCATGTGACATGGGGTGATTGCCACGCTACCGTTGACACTCAAGCGGCGAACGCTCGAGCTGTGGCAACTCGTCGTGTTCATGAGTTGCCGCGGCTTGAGCGTTCGTCGCTTGAGTGTCAACGGTAGCGCGGAAGTTACCCCGTGTCGCATGCAACATCCAGGTTGACCAAGAGCAACGGACACACATACACACACACACACACACACGAGGTTGGACCAAGGGGAGGGGGAGAGAGACATTACAGCAACTTGCTATGCCGCCATGCTTAGTCCATGCTCTCTTGCCAGTCAGCAAGTTGAGTCAGTGCAAGGTCTCTTTTTCACCATTCATGCTGTGCTATGTCATGCTATTCATGCCACGCGATGGCATTCTGTGCCATGCCATGTAATTCTGTGCCATGCCATGTAATTCTGTGCCATGTCATGTAATTCTGTGCCATGCCATGTAATTCTGCGCCATGCCATGTAATTCTGTGCCATGCCATGCAATTCTGTGCCATGCCATTTCATTTCATGCCACGCTTCTGTTCCATTCAATCAACCGACCGACCGACCGACCGACCGACCGACCGACCGACCAACCAACCGACTGACCGACCAACCGGCCGACCACCCGACCAAGCAACCAACCAAACGTACCAAGGTCTCCCCCCACCCCCCCTCTTCTACTCTTGAGACGTCTCAAAAGTCGTACCAAGGTCTCCCCCCACCCCCCCTCTTCTACTCTTGAGACGTCTCAAAAGTCGTACCAAGGTCTCCCCCCACCCCCCCCTCTTCTACTCTTGAGACGTCTCAAAAGTCGTACCAAGGTCTCCCCCCACCCCCCCTCTTCTACTCCCGCCCTCCAGGTGGTGCTGTCCATGTCATGCCTCATGCCCTTCGCATTAAACCACACCGTCGTTTCTGCAGCAGCTTGTGATACAGACCGTATCAGGCAGTGCTGGCAATGTCATGCCTCATGTCATTCCTCCCCCTCTTCCAAGATATCAAGCGTCATGCCCTTCGCACTGAACCACACCGTCGTTTCTGCAGCAGCTTGTGATACAGACCGATTGCATGTGCTCCCCCCCAACCCCCTCCACTTACTCATCAGGCAGTGCTGGCGATGTCATGCCTCACCTCATGCCCTCTGCCCTTTCTCAATGGCTCGCTACTCATCTGACCTATTTTTGTGCAATCTATGTCATCTCTCCCGCTCGTATCTTCACTCATAGCGGAAGAGCTGCAACTCTGAAGATTGGAAAACGCTTAAAGCAACAGCAACGCTTATTTTTGTGCAATTTATGCCATCTCTCCCGCCATCAGCCTGTGCTGTCCATGTCATGCCTCATGGCCTTTGCTCTCAACTACACCATTCTCCTCAACACCTCATCTGCTCCAACCAACCAGTTCAATCTCTCCCAATCTCCCCTTCCCACCCACCAGGCTGTGCTGTCCATGTCATGCCTCATGGCCTTTGCTCTCAACTACACCATCTTCCTCAACACCTCTCTTAACTCTGCCCTCACCCAAACCATGTGTGGCAACATCAAGGTGTGTGGCAACATCAAGGTGTGTGTGTGGCAACATCCGGGTGTGTGGTAACATCAAGGTGCGTGGCAACATCAATCAAGGTGTGTGGTAACATCAATCAAGGTGTGTGGTAACATCAATCAAGGTGTGTGGTAACATCAATCAAGGTGTGTGGTAACATCAATCAAGGTGTGTGGTAACATCAATCAAGGTGTGTGGTAACATCAATCAAGGTGTGTGGTAACATTAACGTATGGTGGCAACATCAAGGCGTGGTGGTGTGGTAACATCGAGGTGCAGTGGTAACATGGAGGCGTGGTGGTTACATCGATTCGTGGTGGTAACATCGAGGTGTGGTGGTATCAAGGTGTGTGGCAACATCAAGGTGTGTGTGTGTGTGTGTGTGTGTGTGTGTGTGTGTGTGTGTGTGTGTGTGTGTGTGTATAAGGTGACTTCACACTCTGCATTCAGGTGTGCACACCCACCCAGCCACCATATTCCTCAACACCACTCTCAACTCGCTCTCCACTCTGCGCCTACTATTCTCATTTCGTAGACTAATCTCATTCCTAAACTAATCCAGAATCCACATCCCTCTCCTGGCTGGTATCTGCAGGATTTAGGAACGGTTGGAATCGGTTGGGCACTTTTTGGAGGCTTGCCTTTTGACCTGGTAAGAGTGGCAAGAGTGGGGTAGGGAAGGGTGTGAGGGGAAGGCTTTTTTTTCCCTCTCTAAAGGGGGGGATTTTGGCAGCTGGGGGATAAGATTAAATTATGGTGGTGGGAGGGTTTTTATATCGTAACAGGGGTTTTAGGATCTGCTATTTGGGTACATGTTGCTGTCATGTTTCTGTTCTCACATGTTTCTGTCAAAGAGTGGCAAGAGTTATTTTTTTTCATTGTTGATTTTTTTTTTCTGCAGGGCAATATAATTGGGCAAGCTATGGGGTTTATGGGTTCGGGTCTATATGCTTATTGCAAGATTAAAGGTATCTAGAAGCCTAGTTATGTCTAGTGCTGTGTTGTGACCATATAAATGTCACACATACTAATCGAAAACCATTAACATAATTCTGCAAACTTATCTATAGAAAGCATCTCTTTTGTGCAAGATGGAAGGCCATCTGGCTACGGTCATCTTGAAGAGGGGTGCTGCTAAAACATGTACCGGTAAGGTAAGTGCCGTGCCATGCCATCATGTGCCATCATCCGCAATTTGGGACTAAAATGAACTGTAAATTGATTTCTTAGAGCAGAGAACATTTGCCTTGACAAGATTCACCATTGCACTAGCAGCCCACAACATGCAATCAGCATCAAAACTTAAAAGGAATTGAAACTGGAAGGAAAAAAAAAAAAAGCACACTGGAAGGAAATTAAACTGAGATGCAAAAGCAGAGCAGAATCCTTGCTCATCTTGCCCCTTCTATGCCCCACCTCCCTCACAGAACAGCACAAACACATGCACACAGACACACACACGGCATCACCGCCACAAGCACGCCACATCACAAGCAGCAGGTCTTCTAGAAACAACCCCCCCCCTCTCCCCATGCATTAGAGGGTCATTCGGCCGCCATTCGCCGCTTCTGCCGAGCCCTGCCGCCCTGCCACCCTCCTCTGCTCCTCCATTGCACGTCTTCTGGTTGGTCTCCAATCAAATGCCGGGCGCAGCACTGCTCGCAGCACTGGCAGCGGTGGCAGTGGGGGGCTTGGGGGCTGCGGTGGCAGCGGTGGGCTTGGGGGCTGCGTCCGAGGTGGCCTTTGCCCCCGGCGCCTGCTCCTTCGGGACGGCCGCCGTGCCAACAGTGGGAGCGACGGGCGTCTTGGCGGCTGCGCCCGAGTTGACCTTACCTCCCGCCTGCTTCTTCGGAACCCCCGACGCGCCAGCAGCAGGAGAAACGGGCGTCTTGGGGGCTGCCGCACCCGAGTTGCGCTTACCAGCAGCGGGCGCCTTGGGAGCTGCGCCTGAGTTGCGCTTTCCAGCTCCCGCCGGCCCAGTTTTCCTTCCCCCGCGGTGGCGGTGGCGGCGGTGCTTCTTCTTGCCCTTCTTGGGCGGGACTCCCATCATGGACCCGACCGAGTTGCGCACCTTCCTCCCCGCCTGCCCGAGAGCGTTTTTCACGGCGCCGCTGGCGTCATCCGACAACTGCTTCAGGTCCGCCCCTGCGTTCCCCATCGTGAGAAGCATCCGCGAGTCCTCCGAGTCAACGGAGTCAACGGAGGCAAAGTCAACGGAGTCAATCAAGGCCGCATCGCTGTCGGCCGCCTCGAGGAGTGCGCGTGGCTCGCTTGCAGCAGCGGGGGCCTTGGGGGCTGCTCCCGAGGTGTCCTTTGCTCCCGCCTCCTGCTTCGGGACGGCTGCCGCGCCAGCAGTGGGAGCCGCGGACGGCTTGGATGCTGCGTCCGGGTTGCTTCCCGCCTGCTTCTTCGGAACCCCCTTCGCGCCAGCAGCAGGAGCGGCGGGCGTCTTGGGGGCTGCCGCGCCCGATTTGCGCTTACCGGCAGCGGATACCTTGGGAGCTGCGCCCGAGTTGCGCTTACCAGCTCCCGCCGTCCCAGTTTTCTTTCCCCCGCGGTGGCGGTGGCGGCGGTGCTTCTTCTTGCCCTTCTTGGGCGCGACCCCCATCATGGACCCGACCGAGTTGCGCACGTTCCTCCCTGCCTGCCCAATGGCTTTCTTCACCGTGCCGCTCGCGACGTCCGACGTCTGCTTCAAGTCCGCCGCTACATCGCCCATCGCGAGAAGCACCCGCGGGTCCTCCGACTCCTCGAAGTCAACGGAGTCAATCGAGTCAACGGACTCCGTGACGGAGTCGAGTGAGGCATCGCTGTCAGCCACGAGGAGCGCGCGCGGGTCGTATGCTTGCTCGAGTGCGGGCTCGCTCGCGTCTAAGTAACCATCCGGAGGGAGCGCCGCGAAAACCGCGAGGAGGTTCAGAGAAGCCACGAGGACAAGGGTGAGCAGAAAACGAGGGCGAGGCGTACCCATGATGTTGGCTGTTGCTATCAGTGTAGCTGAGGAAGAAGCTCTGTGGAAGGTTGTACTGAATTAGATTTACTGCTGGAAGTAGTACTCATGTGAATGAGTTGTTTCCAACTCACTCCGCGTTAAATATGCTAACCATGTTTGCCGATTGCAGACTTCGCTGTAATGTTGCGGCTCGACATCAGATGAGGCGATCCCACCCCATGATGCTTCTCGTAGCGCCTAAGTCGTTTTCTGGGCCTCATAGCGTCGGATGCGGCGGGGATCACTCGGGAACTTGGGCCACCCAAGTTTATGCTCTGCTCGCAGTAATGGCAGTTCGTAATTATGAAACATGAGATCCTGCGGGTTGTGGGAGTGAGATCGAAAGAAAATGGTACGAGCGTGGTCAGGAGTGGTAGAGAGGTTGTTCACTCCATCATCGCTTTTCAGGAGTTGCCCTAAATTTGCGGCCGAGCAATAATTGCGCACCTAGTATTCTCACGCACCGCACATTTCGATACGCGTCTGAAAAAAATGCGCACTTAATTTGTATCGATTTCAAGATATGTACGTATATACAATCAGATACCTTCTCTAAATCTATTCAGGTCTTATGTGTGCACGACATGACACATTTACATGAGGTACACAAGTTAATTAACAGAAAATATTAAGTTTATAAGTTTCTTTCTCAACCTGGGCAGACATTTTTTCACCCTTGAACTTGAGCGTAACTTGTGAACACTTGGGTGAATGGGTGTGTGTAACATTGTGCAATTAAAATCTCTTGCTGGAGTTTGGAGTACGTATTGTGCCAGAATTGTTTGGAGGAGTCAAGAATGTTTTGTGCAATTCAAGGCCTTGATGAACTTTTTTCTTTCAATCACAAACCCTTGCAGGAGTGTGTTGTGGAGTAAGTCAGTTCCTTTTACGAGGCTGCTTGTGTACAATACAGTGAAGCTCAGTCGAGGATTTGGAATTCCACCAACCTTTCCCTCCCACCAGCAGAGCACCCCTAAACTCGAGCCTCATCCCAAGCTACAGTGCCCAAGCTCCACCTTGGGATTGGAGGAGACCAGCTCTGATTATGGGCGATGTTCAGCAGCTGGGGAATACAGCAAGGGATGTTGTCGACTGAAGAATCTGCTTTTTACGAGTGGCAGCGCTCTGGTCTAAAATTCCTGCTCGAGTTTCTTTTCTCAGCTGTGGGGACTCATTTGCAGTAGCGTACAGGCGGCAAGCATCACCGCATTCATTCACATTCTTTTATTTGTTACGTCACTAGATGATTACCGCATTCTTCACTTAATTCTTTTGATAATTTTGTCAGGGGAGCGCTCGTCTCTCGATAGTGACCTTCACATCCCGTTATTGTCACATCTCGGAACCGTCACCTCATCATCGCCATCGCCGGCGATCATGGATGCGAAGGTGCTGAGCTTCGGCGACGTTCTTCTGCGCGAGTGCGACGTGGCGACGCTGGAGTCGTCGCAATGGCTTAACGACAAAATCATCGAATTCTACTTCGAATACCTCTCGCGAACCCTCCTCGCCGCATCCGACCCCTCCGCTTCTGCCGCCGGCGCTGGCGCTGCCGCTGGGACAGCTAGCAGCAGCGCGGGAGGAGAAAGCAGCAGCAACGGCGCCGGCGGCGCTGCTGGTGGTGCGGCGGGAGGGGAGGGTAACAATAGCGCCGTGCTGCTGGTGGGGCCGTCGGTGTCGTTTTGGCTCAACATCTGTCCGAGCGATGATGACGTCACCGAGACCATGGCTCCCCTGGGCGTGGAAAACAAGGAGGTACGTGCACTCAGGACATTGCGTTCCGATTGATTTCTTGCGTTTCTGTCACACACTGCTTCACGGGAGGGGAGGGTAGCAGCAGCGCCGTGCTGCTGGTGGGGCCGTCGGTGACCTTCTGGCTCAACATTCGTCCGAGCGACGATGACGTCACGGAGACCATGGCTCCTCTGGGCGTGGAAAACAAGGAGGTAGGGCGCGGAAAACAAGGAGGTAGGGCGCGTATCCAGGCAGGACAATGCGTTTTGATTGATTTCACATCCGTGTTTTGTCCCGCACTGCTTCACGGCTTTTCCATGGCTCCCCTGGGCTGGAGAACAAGGAGGTACGGCAAGTTGGTGTCATCGGGTGGAAGGTGGTTTTGGTGGTAGTGGGTGGATGGGAGAAGTGGAAAGACAGAAAGCTTTCGGAGGGAACAGAGGAACGGCAGTACCATTGCATTCGGAACCGTCCCGATCCGCCTCCTCGCTTCCTTCTCACTGCCACCTCGCTGCCTCCTCTCTTCCTTCTCGCTTCCTCCTCGCTTCCTCGTCGCTTCCTCGTCGCTTCCTCGTTCCTTGTTGCTTCCTCCTTGCTTCCTCCTCGTTTCCTCCTCGTTTCCTCCTCGTTTCCTCCTCGCTTCCTCCTCACTTCCTCCTCTCTGCCTCCTCACTGCCTCCTTCCCTGCCTCCTCCTTCTCGGCTTCCCTTCGCCTCCTATAATGCAGCTCCTGACGCGTCAGTGACAAAAAGCGCTCGCTCGCTGCCATACTCGTGCAACATACCCTTCCTTCCTCACTGCCTCCCTCTCTTCTCCCCCACTCCCCGTGTTTTGAGTCAACTCAAAACACGAAACGCTCGCTCGGTGCCATCCTCATTCAAGATATCCTCCCTCACTGCCTCCCTCCCTCTCCTCTCCCCCACTCCCCGTGTCTTCACGGCCCCTCATGCCCCTCGTCGCCCTTGCAGTCAACGGCAACAATGGCCCAACACTTTCAGCGAGGCAGGCTCAGCGTCATCTTCGTGCAACATATCCTCCCTCACTGCCTCTCTCTCTCCCCTCCCCATCTCCCCTTGCTTCACTGCCCTCCTCCCTTTCTGTTGCCCTCACTGCTTGCCTTGTTCAACATATCCTCTGCATGGCAGCTCATCGCCCTGGCAGTCAACGACAACAACGACCCCACACTCGTTCAATGCTGTTCCCCCTCACTTCCTCTCTATCCTCTCCCCCTCTTCCTTTGCTTGCCTCTGCATGGCAGCTCATCGCACTCGCAGTCAACGACAACAACGACCCCACACTCGTTCAATGCTGTTCCCCCTCACTTCCTCGCTATCCTCTCCCCCTCTCTCTTTGCTTGCCTCTGCATGGCAGCTCATCGCACTCGCAGTCAACGACAACAACGACCCCACACTCGTTCAATGCATTTCCCCCTCACTTCCTCTCTATCCTCTCCCCCTCTTCCTTTGCTTGCCTCTGCATGGCAGCTCATCGCACTCGCAGTCAACGACAACAACGACCCCACACTCGTTCAATGCTGTTCCCCCTCACTTCCTCGCTATCCTCTCCCCCTCTCCCTTTGCTTGCCTCTGCATGGCAGCTCTTCGCACTCGCAGTCAACGACAACAACGACCCCACACTCGTTCAATGCTGTTCCCCCTCACTTCCTCTCTATCCTCTCCCCCTCTTCCTTTGCTTGCCTCTGCATGGCAGCTCATCGCACTCCCAGTCAACGACAACAACGACCCCACACTCGTTCAATGCTGTTCCCCCTCACTTCCTCGCTATCCTCTCCCCCTCTCCCTTTGCTTGCCTCTGCATGGCAGCTCATCGCACTTGCAGTCAACGACAACAACGACCCCACACTCGTTCAATGCTGTTCCCCCTCACTTCCTCGCTATCCTCTCCCCCTCTCCCTTTGCTTGCCTCTGCATGGCAGCTCATCGCACTTGCAGTCAACGACAACAACGACCCCACACTCGTTCAATGCTGTTCCCCCTCACTTCCTCGCTATCCTCTCCCCCTCTCCCTTTGCTTGCCTCTGCATGGCAGCTCATCGCACTTGCAGTCAACGACAACAACGACCCCACTCTCGTTCAATGCTGTTCCCCCTCACTTCCTCGCTATCCTCTCCCCCTCTCCCTTTGCTTGCCTCTGCATGGCAGCTCATCGCACTCGCAGTCAACGACAACAACGACCCCACACTTGCTGAGGCAGGCTCGCACTGGAGTCTCCTCCTCTTCATCAGGTCAGCTAGGGTTGGTGCCACTGCCCTTGCATTGCAGCTACACACGTCCGTTGCTGTTCCCCGTAAGGTCAACGGCAACAACAGCCACACACTTGCTGATGCAGGCTCGCACTGGATCCTGCTCCACTTTATCAGGTCAGCTGGTGTTGGTGCTTTTGAGACGCCTTGAAAACGCAGCTGGCCATGCGGTGCTGCATTTGAGTCGACTCAAAAGCATGCCTTTGAGACGTCTTAAGAACGCAGTTGGCCATGCGGTGCTGCAAATATGGTCTCACGTGGGATGATGCAGCTACTCTTTAAAAAATCAGGTGTCGCTGGTGCACATTAAGTTACATATATCATATACGGGGTACTATCACACGACTGTTGCTGTTCCCCATGGCGTCAGCAGCAGCAACAGCCCCACACTCGCACATGCAGGCTCGTATGCTGATGCTGACTGGAGCATGCTGATGCTGCTGCCTGTTATCTAGTTTTGAGACGTCTCAAAAGGGTTTCTGGAGGGAACTTCGTTTTGTGCTCTGCTTGCTTGCTCACACCCTCTCCCCACTCAGCCCCTCGACAGGTCCCACTGCACTGCCTCCTCCTTCTCTTTGACAGCGACGGCTCGCACAATCTCGGGTAGCACTCCTCTTTTTTTTTTTTTTTCTAGTCGACTCAACGATGGAGCCAGAAATCAGCGGCACCGCCCTCCCCTTCCCCTCAAAGTCTGCCCAATCCGCCTTCACTCCCCGTGTCACCGTCCTCTCTCTTTCCCCGCTTGTCCCCACCGCAGGTCGCGTCGTCTCTTTCTTCACTTTGACAGTGCCGGTTCGCACAACTTGGAGGCAGCTAAGGGGCTTGCCGAGAAGCTTCAAGCCCTCCTAGGTGCGGTCTGGTGGGGGTATGTTCTGCACGGTCGTTCTGCTGTAGCGGCGTTCTGTTGGGTACAGGGGCATTGTTTGTGGGTGCCCCCATTTCCTCATTCTATTCCGTTACTCTTTCTTTGCCCCTGTTCAAATCAATCGTTCTTTTACTTATTTTCCCTTATCCGCTTCCCTCTTGCCCACAGGCGTTACTGTGACTGACGACACTTTCCAAGCAGCATCTACACCTCAACAGCTAAACGGATATGACTGTGGGGTGTACGTACTCGCTATAGCAAAAGCCCTCTGCGAGACGGCATCTGCTGCACCGGAGGGGAAAGCGTCGGCAGAGGAGCTGGAGAGCTCAGCCAAAGGGGTGGATGCGGCAGCGGTTACCAAGTTACGGGGAGACGTGAAGCAGCTTATTCAGCACCTGGGGAAGCAAAGCACAGAGTAAATGACGTGTGACCGCTGTGTTTTGAGGAACATCAAAAGTTGTGACCGCCATGTTGCATCTTTAGCCGTGCTGCTCTGTGCGTGAAGACTCTGGAAGGGGAGACGGATGGCTGGGCTGGGACCCACTCACTAGCAATGAAGCTGCTGCTTTACGCCTGGGGGAGGAATGCGGGTGAAAGAAGTAGCACCTGTGTTGCAGAATTCACGGGGCTACATCATGCATGTAGACCCTGGTGGGGGAGACGGATGGCTGCGCTGCGCTGAGACTCACATGCTGGCAATCAAATCAAGGTGCTCATTTCGCACCTATGGAAGCATGCGAGTGAAAGCCATAGCGCCTGTGTGTGTTGCAGATTTCTCTGGCTGCCCCAGGCGATGTATGGCTAGGACTGGCAAGTGGAAAGAGAATGGACGTTTCCATCCTGTGCTGCATAGTCTCCTCATTTTTGCCTTTGACACATTCTGGTGGCAAGGGATTGGAGGAAGTGGGTATGAATGTCTGCTACATGCCATGCCAAGTGCTGTGGAGACAAGGCAACCCTCTGTCTCTGAGAAATTCCTTTCACCGGTAGCACTCATTACAGTGAAATTATAATTTTTGAAAGTGTATTCACTTTCTAAAATTTTGTATTGTGATAGTGAAGCGATTGCCAACGCAGCAAAGGCAGCGTCGCATCGCTACTCGCCCTCTTTTGGCTACAAAAGAGGGGTTGGAGGCCATTTGGCCTCACCCACGTTCTTCTTTTCAGATTTTTAGTTTGAGTTCCGCTCAATCTCGTCCAATCTGGCGAAGACTCAGGGCGTGTTCCTATGCTCTTAGGGCGTGTGAGGTCTTTGTAGAAGTTCAAAATAAAGTTCGAACTTTGGGTGGTTACCCTTTTCGCTAATTTCGCTAAGGGTGCTTCGCGAACCAAGCATTGTATGGGCTCTGCAAAAGTTCGAGTTTGAAATATGAACTTGACTCGAGTCGGAGGCGCGAACGTGCGTGCGCATGTTCATGCGAGCGTGTGTGATCTGCAGCACGTCCGAACAGCTGGCGAAACGGGCGAGCGCTTCGCCAGTGCATGAAGTTGCACAACGAAGACACCCCACAATTCGTGCACACAGTTGTAGCCACGTGTCCAGCATACAAGGTGTTGCCATGGGGGCTATTTGTACCCTGGTGCGCGGAAGGTGAGATGGAGCCTTCGTCAACATTTTGCGCCACGTCAACATTTTGTACAAATAGCCCCCTAGAGGGGAGTGTGCGAAGGTGACGGGAGGTTGACGAAATTTTGCACCACTCGGCGCGGAAGGTGAGTTGGAGCTCTAGGTCCTTGAAAACCGAGGCGCAAAATGTTGACGTGGCGCACCGTCAAGACGAGCGAACCGGGTAACCTATGATGTTGACGTGCGGCTCGGCTCGTTTTTACAAGTTCGAATGTCGGGGTTCGACCTTGTATGTGTGTGTGATTTTTTACAGTGTGGTAAGCCCGATGTTCGAACTTCGATAGAAGGAAATTCGAACTTCTTTCGTTGTAAGTTCGAAACTAAAATTCGCCCTAAAAACATAAACTTTTACAAATTTCAAAGACCTCACACGCCCTTATCAGGCAAACCTCTTGTCAGCCTTGCCTGGTAAAAGTAGCGACGGTTTTTGGGTTTAGGGAATTTTCAAGGGGAAAAGTAGCGAGCTTGATAAAGGTTGCCCTGATAAGGGGCCGTAGGAACACGCGTTCAGTCACTTCCATGTTTTACTGCTCCAACAACACTTCTCGCCGACATACTCAAGCACAACATTGCTTCAATGGCGCTCGTCAACAACGTTTCTATTCGCGAAGGAAACAAGACGGCGAACACCCCGGGCGCGCAGAACTCCGGAAGTCTGCCCGGGGCAACCACGCGTCGTGCGAAACGCCCTGCCGAGGAGGCACGCGAGGACCTCGCCACTGGCGTCGAAGTCCTGTTTGGCACGACCTCCTCGGCGCCTTCTGAGGAGCTTCCTGCCGCGCGCGCTGCTTCCAAGCAGCCGCGCGACATGGCGAAAAAGACAGCCGCTGACGCGGCTGTCATCATCGCTTCGGCCGGCCAGGCCGGCCCCTCTGGCGCACGCGACAAGGAGCACGCGCCAGCGGCACCCTCGGCACCCTCGGCCCCTGCTGACGTCAGCCCCCTTGCCTTGACCACTGCGCAGGTCCAGGCACTGCTGGCGATGTTACAGCAGCAAGCACATGTAACTGCGGGGACTTCTAACAATGACGAAGTTACAGCATCTGCAAAAAATAACAAGAAGGAAGAAAATGTCGTCGCCCCTCGCCCGCCTAAGGCCGCTCGCGTCGAGAAGAACCCCACTCCGGCCCCCGCCGACGAAGACAGCGACGAGTCCGACGATGCTGCTGGTGAGGCTCCTCGCTGCCGCAATCCAATTTTTTCCAATGCCCCTCGCCCCACACTCCCCTCGCTCGCTCCCTCAACCGCAACTACCACTTTCAACCGCAAGGGTATGCGTGATCAGGCAGAGGTTTTCTCTACCATCCAAGCCCACCTCAGGCTCATGGAGCTCCAGCTGCAGCAGGGTGACGCGGAAGGAGCGCTCGCCAACGTCACTCAAATCGAAACGCTCATTAACAAGCGCTTCGAGGTGCTCTTGGTGGCGTACGAGGCGGGTTTTGAAACGGCCGACCGCTTCCAGCTCTACCAATCGAAGAGCGTGCTCACCTCCCGCTCCTACAAGCTAGCCGTGGCAGATGTGGCAGCATCGATGCGTGCCCGCATGAGCTATAATCGCACCGTGCGGGGTAACGGCCTCGACAACGGGGAAATCGGCAACAAGGGTGCCGGACAAGGCTCATGCCAAAACAGGGCCTTCAAGGGCACCTGTTTTCGCTGTGGCCAGCCCGGGCACATGGCAAACGCCTGCCCCATGGGGGGGCGCGGCGGAGAAGGCCCCACACCCGTGGTGTGAGGAGTAACCAAGGGCGATGCCCCTTTCCCCGCTCGCCGAAAGAGCGTAGGGGATTGCACCAGGGGTTGCACGGCTGTGGAGCAGCCTAGGGACTCAAAGAGGTCAGGGGACCCTTAGATTAAGGCCAGGGTGGCTGATGGATGGCCCTGAAATGTATTTCTTGTTATGAAAAAAAAAAAAAAAAAAAAAAAAAAGGACTTGCAAGTTGTTTTTACTTCCTCATATTAAACCACGGGCTCTTGGTTGGAGCTGCACTTTGGAAATGAAGAGTTGGCAAGCCTACTCAAGGAATGTCAAAAGGAAAAGCCACAAACAATGGCAGCAAGAAGGAAAATCAAGAGGCAAAATCACGGGCAAGCTCGCTCAAAAAAAAAAAAAAAAAAGAGAGGGATGGAAGGAGCGAGAGAGCAAGGTGACAAAGGGGTCCCAAAAGGAGGGACTGTCAAGTGGCAGATTCAGAGGTGCCAAAGCTCGGCACACCCACGCCAAGAATCACAAGAAAAGGCCAAGGAGGGGGGGAGAGAGAGAAAGAGAGTGGAGGAGGTTGAATGGTACGGTGGCACACATGTGCCCATGCCTACCCAACCCATCACTAAGTTGGACAAAAGGTAGCCATCACTGAACGACGAGCTCTGGCCATCACCCCACACCGCAAAGCAAGACACGAAAGGGCGAGGGGATTCTCGCACACTACTCGTAGCATATGGTACGTAGGACCATGATCGCTCCTTACTGATTAGCACATTAACGACGTCTCCTGCATGCATCGTTTGGTACGCAGTCGAGAACAACAAATGGGTAATGAGGGCAACCGACCCATACAAGTTCGCGGTGACAGACACAACTATATTCGTAATGCAAGGCCGACTGCGCCAAGCACTCCACTGGTGGTGCTCATGGTGCGATAGCAGCTTCATCTTATCCATCATTGCACGTGGCTACTGGTTCCCATGGAAGAACGAGCCCCCCACGCCCTTTTAATCGAAAAACCACGCCGGCACACAAGCACATGGTGATTTCACCCGAACCGCAGTCCAGGACCTCCTTCGCACGGGTGCCGCTGCAGAGGCACCCGATCGAGCCACACTTTCATGTGTTAGCCCGCTCAACGTGGTCGAGCAACGCGAAAAATGTCGCCTCATACTGGATCTTCGGAAGGTCAACGAGCACCTGCGCGTGCCCAAGTTCAAATACGAAGGACTGCTTCACGTGGCAGAGTTGATCAAGCCGAACGATTGGATGTTCTCCGTCGACCTCAAATCGGGGTATCACCATGTGGACATACACTCAACTTGCTGGCGATACCTTGGCTTCCAGTTCGACGGAGCATATTACTACTTCCGCTCCTTACCATTCGGGTTGGCCACAGCCCCGTTCGTCTTTACCCAACTTATCAAGCAGCTCGCTCGACGATGGCGTGCACATGGATGGCGAGTGATCCCATACGTCGACGACATCTTAGTGCTATCCGAGTCAGCCCAACAAGCCCAATCGACATGCACCATGATCGTGCAAGACCTAAAGGACTCCGGTCTAGTGATCAACAAGAAGAAGTCTCAGCTGCTTCCCACCCAAGCACTCCGCTTCCTTGGCCTCGAGCTGGACACTCAAAGCTGCACATTCTCGGTGGGAGACGAACGTCGATCTCAACTAAAATCCACAATGACGACGCTCATTACCGAGGGGCGTAGAGGTCGCCAAGTACACATCCGCCACGTCGCCCGAGTCACCGGCATGCTCGCATCAATGAGCCTCGCTCTGGGAGCAACTGCACGAGCCTTCAGCCACGAGCTGCTCCAAACCATCGACACCGCACCATCATGGAACTCCCGGATATCGCTATCATCAGAGGCAATTGACGAACTGGGCTTCTGGATGGAGCAATTCGACAAGTTCAATGGTGCCCCGTTCCATCAACCGCACCATTACGATGCGGTCATCCAGGTGGATGCAAGCGCACACAGTTGGGGCGCCACACTCGTCACGTTCCGCGGAGAGAGGAGCACAGCAAGCGCAAGCATGCCCTCACACTTGCCACCCACATCCAGCACCCGGCGGGAGCTGGAAGGTGTTTTGTGGAGAATAGGAGTTAAGTTTAGAACCATGGCAACTAGGGTTTGGGTAGAAGGTGAAGTGTCGAGAGAGTTTTGGAAAGACAAAGAGGTTGTTCACTATAGAGCGAGCAGTACAAATAGGCAAGAAAGAAGAAAGGTGCACCACCAAACAGAAAGTTATATGACTACAGTATTCTACACTACAGGCAGTTATAGAACAATATATAGAACTACATATTATTCTGACACGCCCCCATAAGTGCCTGTAGGGAAGAATGTGCAGTCAACGCCCCCATAATGAGGTACACCAGACAGGCCGCAGCGGAAATCACAGCAACAGGCAAGTGCAGTGGCAACCGGTGCAGTGATGGCAGATCCAGCTATACCAACCCCTTGACCAAGGCAGAAACAGTAGCAGGTGTTGGGGCGGCAGGTCGCCTGAGGAGCAGGCTCTGTGGCTGCAACATGCAGCAGGACAGCAGCGGCTCGACGGCAGCACCTGCAGGCCCCAGCAGCAGGTAGCAGAAGTAAAGGCAGCAAGGGCAGGTGGTAGCAGGGGCGGCAGCTGGAGGTGCCACGGCAGCAGCGGGCAACATCAGCAGATGACCGGCTGACTTCCGTCGCCCCCTCACTCTCCCCCCCACAGCGGCACGTGCGGCAGTGAGAGAGAGAGGAGGGGCGGCAGCTTCTTGCTCACACCCGCCACCCCAAACCCTTCCCCCCCCACTGCCGCACGCGCAGCAGGGAGAGAGAAGGGACGGCGTGTGGCGGCGTAGCGGTGTGGCGCAGCAGTGAACAGAGTGTCGTCAACCACCCTCGCGCCTCCCCCTCCCCCTCCCCCCCCCCCCCCCCCCCCCCCCCCCCCGCCACACCTTCGTCCACAGCGGAAGACATGGCAGCGGGCGTGGTTGGCGTTGGCGATAGCGCGGGTAGGGGGGGGAGTAACGGGGGGGTGCAACAGGTGCCGCGACGAGCGCCTTCGCACAGCTCGCCGTCGCTTGCGGGGCAGCTGCAGTTGTAGCAGCCGCATGTTCGATGGGAGGGCGGGGCAGGGGGCGCATTTGGCGACTGAAGCAGCTCGGCCGCCACACCCGCCGTCTCCCCCCAAAACGACTGTCGATGCAGACGCTCGGGGCCGCGACAGGGCGGGACGAGGCTGCAGTAGGGCGCGATGGGCAGGCGACGGGGCCGACGACCGGGGCCGTGAAAAAAACAGCGCCAAGTGCGCCACGCTCAACTTCGCAACATTCGCGACGAGCGGCTGAACGGGCACAGCTGGGGCCGCGACGAGCGCCATGGCAGGAGCGTTATGCGGTGGGCCCATGGGAAAAAAAAAAGGTCCTAGGATAGGAACCACTCTGATAACATGTGGAGAATAGGAGTTAAGTTTAGAACCATGGCAACTAGGGTTTGGGTAGAAGGTGAAGTGTCGAGAGAGCTTTGGAAAGACAAAGAGGTTGTTCACTATAGAGCGAGCAGTACAAATAGGCAAGAAAGAAGAAAGGTGCACCACCAAACAGAAAGTTATATGACTACAGTATTCTACACTACAGGTAGTTATAGAACAATATATAGAACTACATATTATTCTGACAGTCACTACGCACCTTCATGCATCAGATCCAGGGTGGCCACACCCTAGTCCGTGTCGACAATCAAGGCGTCATGTTCATCCTACGCAAGGGCGGCTCAAGCACCACCGAGCTCACCCTCACCTGCAAAGAAATCATCTCTCTTTGTACGGAACACTCGGTTCGCTTGGCGATCGAATGGATCCCTCGCGAGTTGAACACCCATGCGGACGAGCTCTCCAAGCTGCAAGACCATGATGACTACACTCTGAAACAACCGTGGTTTCGCCTCCTTGAACGTCGTTGGGGGCCCCACTCCATCGACCTATTCGCAAACGCTCGCAACGCGTTGTTACCTCGCTTTTGCTCGAAGGTGCCCTATCCCAAGGCTGAAGCGGTCAATGCATTCTCGACGGATTGGAGGGGAGAGCACGGTGTCGCGTTCCCACCCCCCCACCTCATCCCAGCAACCCTTCGGCACGCGCAACGCACCCACGCAAAGATCACTCTTGTGATTCCACAATGGACAGGGGCTGCTTGGTGGCCCCTTGTGCAGCCATCTCCCCAGACATGGGCCAAGGGGATCGCCAGCCACCTAGCACTTGCAAGCGGTAGTCAATGCCTTCACCCATGCACACACACATCTTCGTTCTCAGGCGCTGGATTTCCAAATAGTCCCATCCTTGCATTGGCTATAAATTTCTCAATGTAATTGCACGCTCTTATTGATGGCATAACTATTAAACAACCTCCAAAAGCAACTCTTTGCGGTCATCAGCCAAGTGAGGGCACCCTCCACCATCCAGACCTATGAACCTTACTGGCTCAAGTTCCGAGCCTTCTGCAAGAAGGTTTCGCTGAGCTACCTGCCTACCACGGACCTGACACTCGCGCTGTACCTCGTGCACGCCCTCAAGCACAAAGCCACGCTATCTGCTATCACACTAACATGCTCCGCGGTAGCCTTCGCACACAAAATGATTGGGACGGCGTGTCCCACCGACGGCCCCTTCACATCGCAAGTACGCGAGTTCGCCTAGCGCCACGTACCGCGCCCCAACCGGACCAAAGATCCAATCTCGCTTCACCAGGTCCATAGCATGGCTCAAGAGTTTCTCACATCCCACATCCCATCCGAAATTCAGAAAGGTCTCATTCCGCTCTTGATGTACACTGGGTTCCTACGCTACTCCGACCTGGTCGCGATTCAGTGGCAGGACATTCAATTCGAGGATACGGCAATGTGGGTTCTAATCCCACACTCCAAAACTGACCAAGAGAGCAAAGGAGTGTGGGTCCCAGTCGCGGCAACAGATGGGCCATACTGCCCAGTCCAAACCACCCAGAAATTCATCAAGATTGCCGGCTATGACTC